TTGGGCTCAAATGTGACACTATCTAAACGACTTAACACCCTTTTTGGTACCTTTGTTTGATGCTTTCTTCAACAACCTACATTTTATGGTATCTTTCCGTGATAGAATTTCGGCATTGGCAGCTGTCAAGCACGTGCCTAACCTTGTCAAAATTAGGGAAGACTTGTCACTAGAATTAAATGTTAAGGAATTTACAATGCCTCTAGTTTTACTGAAGTGCAGTTGAATAGTCGATGACTAGGTTGTGGCTCACCTTGACGGTGGTACAGGGTCTACGTTGATTGAAGTACTCATTCATCGTGGACTCGAGGATGAAGGCGTAGTCTTTGTTTGAATTGATCACCTTCTCCACTCCTGCCTTCACAGTGGGTGCCAAAGCCTCGGGATTGGCCTCCATGAATTTCCACATTTGTTGAAATATCTTTATACTGGACTTCTAGATGTGGATTCGAAAACAATATTTGGTATCTACTCCCGTGTAAAGATAAATTAGGGTGAAAAACTGTCTAGAAGGTAAAGAAGATCAACCACTATGCACTGCCAGAGGTCTCTTGTGCCCAACTTGTTGTGCTTTCTGATTAAGAGTGGCAGAATCTCCTCCTACAAGTCTGGTGAGTGGTGCAGGACAGAGGCTAGCACTATTTGAGACTGAAGGAGCACTGCCAATTCGCGAAAATATCTTGTCAAAGGGAATTGGAGAAGGGGGCACATAAAACCACTGATTGACAAGTGTGAGTCAACATCTAGTGAGGGAGAGTATTTTGCAGATTAATAACCTCCAGTGTCAGCTATTCACACCACACTTTGTCTTCCTCACAGCTACATACTCGGGGTCTTCCAAAGCCTATGTGTGTGGTGGACCACAAATACTTCTTCTTCCTACGGATTGTTTAGAAACTCGTAACAGTTACAAAGACATAAACGAAATACCTTCGTTATTTTCGTAATAATTAAAACTGATATTTGAATAGGTAAAATGTCCACTCCTGAGGCCTAAGGAGACTCATAGCCCAAATGAGCGAGAAGGGAATAGGCGAGAGGGAGGCGATTGGTGTCACGCCAGTATTAACAGCAGTTGGCAAGCCTTTCATCGATAGGACGAAGGGAGTGACAATTTGGAGAATTTTAGTATACAGGCCGTCTCGGTTTCGTTTAGCCTGATCTCGCGTGTAATTTGATAAAACAATCTGTCAAAGTGCGAGTTTTACACTCAACAGTTTGTATTTTCTGGCCACAACTTAAGAACTGATGAATTCCACTGGCCAAATGCGATGTTCAATGGACAAATAACGCAATTAGTTGGACATGTAAACATGCTATTTTTGGTAATATCGGACGTAGAAAAGTGTGCTGTGTCACATGATGTCGCCGTTGCCAAAGTATACATGGTAGTGTGGAAAAGTGTGTTCTCTTATTACTTCTAGCAGTAGTATCAAGTGCTGTGAGGTGATTTTTATAAACATTACCATTACGAGTTGATAAAGAACAGCAGTTGTGGTGGTGGTGATGGTGGTGGTGGTGGTGGTGGTGGTGGTGGTGGTGGTGGTGGTGGTGGTGGTGGTGG